ACAGTCACAGCTGTGCCCAACAGCTGCATGGCACCCAGTGTGGACTTCAAATGAGAAGCACCTCCCCAACAAACACACACACACACACACACCAAAATAGGATTAAGTGCTCTCTGCCTGGTCTGGACATGAAGCAGAACAGAGGTGTCCATCCTCCTCAGTTAAAGTGCTGTGAGACCGAATGAATCCTGTGATGGCATGTGGCTATTGAGGGGTGAAGGATGAGGTCACCAGGAAATACTGTTATTTCCTTTTATTTATCTAGGAACTCAGGGAAAATTTTATTCCACAGAACCTAAAGCCCATCCTAAGGAGTTTAGGGGAGTGTCAGTAATTTTTTTTTTTTTGTTTAGAAACCAAGTTCTAATCACTTATTAGAGGTGATTTAATAATCCCCACAATCAGGTCCTTCTTCAAATTCTGGCTGGTAAATCCCACAAGGAAAATATATTATACTTGAACTAAAAGCCTGTTTGTCTCTTAAGTACAATTTCCTCTGGAGCCCCTTTTCCAGCAAGGCTGTGGGTAGTGGCTGAGTTTCTAACCATGCCATGAACTGAACACCAATATCCTGCCAGCTCAGGAGAAGAGAATTCAAACACGAGTACTCCTTGCTCAACTTTTTAATTGTATTTGCTTTTTAATTTTTCTGTGCTAATACTGAAGCATTAACAGAGACCCGTGTGATAACACATTTAACTTTCTCATTATTTTCCAGTGAGCAATAATTGCAGGAGCTCTGGTTAAAAGGAAACTCAGCAATTACAATGATGACTTGGTGAATTTGAAGAGAATCTGTAGCAAACTATATTGTGATGGGAGTTTTTAGACCTTACAATTAATGGTCATTAATCAAAAAGAATAGATTTACAAATTGATGATGGAGAGAAGCAGTTTGATATAAAATATTTGTAAAATAAAAACTATATTAATCTGTTATGATATATTGCTAAGAAAAATAACCAAAATCTACAGTCCTATAAAGAAACACATTTTAACGAATGGGCAGAAGCTGAATAAAAGGAGAAGTAATGACTTGGTTAAAGCTCAGAGGGAAACAATGCCAAAGTCACCCACCTTAAATGACGAATGAGTAGATAGATCTGATATATGGTGCATTTTTTTTAGAGTGCAATTCACTCCAGCTAATGGCTAAGGGATGTGCATTGACAATCACATTAGCCCTTTTTGCTATTTTAGTCAAATAAGGCTAATCATTTAGCGTGCCTAATTTATATAGCTGAGAGGGCGGGTTATCAGTACAGATGTACCGAGGCATAAAAGACTTGGGAACACTGACCTATCTGTCAAATTGGATCAGGCCCAGTGAAATTCAATTTGTTAATCTTGCCTCCCAATCCTTCCCTCATGCAGTCTGAGCACTAATAGGTTTTGTGCTGCTCTGAGAATGAGCCCAGGCTGCAGTGGGACTTCTTGGTTGGATTAATCACAGTCAGGCATGAGAGATGTTACCTCTTGGAGAAAAGGGAAGGACTTCTACTACTGGAAGCCTAAAAGTGCAAATCTTTAAATACTTGCGATATATATTTGTATATACCCAGTTCTCACCCTAAAGGACAAGGCCACAACCCAATATTTTATTGATAATGAAGCAAACTAAATAAAGGAGGGCTGATTAAAGAGATAGGATGATCCATTTTTGCACGTGTACGTGCACATTTATACTCAAGCTTCAAAAGTTAAACAATGTCAGATATACATCTCTGGACTCCTCAATTCTCTAAAATGGGAGCAATGCTAACTTTGTGTCTAAAGATGAAGTTTCTGAGGCCAAGAGAAGCATGTGGCTCTCCTAGTACTCGCTCAGGCCTCATTGCAAAAGAAAATGTCTTTTTCATCAGCAACCTAAGTTTACATCAGTCTTGAAGTTTAACCTCGGTCTTTGAATCCTGGAGATGTCCATAAGATCTGGATACAGTGAATTGAAATAACACAAGCTCTTAAAAACTGATTCTTTGCTGTTTCCTGTCAACTCTGAGAGCAGCTACATTTGTACAGATGATTTTTCCCATATTTGAAGCTCTACCTGGATGGGATATTTGACAACAAACCCAGATGTTTTCTGCTTCAAAAATAATGTTCAAGTCGTTTTGGCTTGGCAATTTGACCTTATCAATATGACAGCTAAACCTATTTTTAAAGTGAGCTTGAAGAATCATTATCCAGACATGATTTTCCAATTCTCCACTGATTTGAGGCTCATCAGCCATTACAGACTCTGGGATGACATACAGTGTTTTAATGCTTGATATTTATCAAATTTCACATGTGTTATTGATTGTGTGTACTATTTGAATAATTCCTAATTGCTGTCAGCTTCTTCTTTACTGCATGTGTTGTTTTGCCCTGATGTTTCTTCATGCTTGTAACTAAAGGATGTTATAATAACAACTTATATCATTATCAGTCCTGGTTTGTTTCAGTACACTCTTACAGCCATCCTTTCAAAGGGTTTTTCTGCCTTATTTTTTCTTTCACCACCACACAAGACAAGAGACCATTCCTGTTTTCCAGTCCCTGCCCAAATTGCATACAGAAGCTTACTGGATTGAATTAGGAAGAATCAAACCAGAATAATCATTCTGTTCCTCACTTTCAGACAAATTGGGGTAACAGCTGTAGCCCAGTACAGACTCCAGCAGATCTACTTGGTCCTTCAATCATGCCAGAATATTCAAGAAATTGCTCTGGAACACACAGAACATTGGCTAGAGGAGAATGACAACAGACTGAAGCTGTCTTAAAAAGCTTTATTTATTCCTGGCAGAAGAAAATAATAAAGAAATAATGTCAACAACCTTTCCAAACAACTGAGTTTTTCCTAAGTATAGGAATAAATCAATATGTTTCTTTAATAGTACAGGTAGCTATAACTCTGAAATCATGTGGGAAGCATTCAAATAACGTTCACAAGGCTTGACATAGGCCCTGTCTGGGAAATATTTTGTTTCTTTTCCTATTAGATATCTTTATATAAGCCCGTTTTCAACACTGCCTATCAGCGGATATCAGACTGAAAATGTAAGTAATGCCAAGTCACAAAGTCAGCTCTCCTGGAGAGGTTGCCAATCTGCTCATGACCACTGTGAAAATAAACTCCACTTGCCACTGGAGTTTATTTATGCCTGAGTCTTTTTAGTTTAGGGCTTGGTCACCAGCACAGAACATCTGTGACAGCTGATTTCCAGAGAATAATTCTTCCATTATTTGCTTTGCTTCTCTGCATTACTGTTCTACACCACGAAGACAGCTGAGTGATGGGGATAAAAGTAATGTCATTTGAAAGCCTGAAAAAATTTGATTCTATTCCTTATTTATCAAGATTAAACTCTGAAATGGTATGACACAAACAAATAATCTGAAAAAGGAGCAGGGAAAATAATATTAAAATCAACCAACCAACCACAATAAAAGTTGTCTTCTGGCCTCAATTATTTTTCTGACACGAAACTTAGGAAAAAATTATTTTGTTAGGTTGTCATATATTGCTATTTAATCAGTTATGCCACATATTAGGAGGCTATCTTTCCATACCATGAAAAAACACCCAACACTAAACATCTATCGTCATAGCCAGGACTCGCCTCAGAACTGATAGCCCCTGGGGAAAAAAAATAAGTCTTTAATCTGAAAATCAATTTAAATAGAGTGACTCTTTTTTCATTTTCTTCCTTTTTCTGCAGAGTGGAACCATCAGTGCATCCATGATATCCCCAATGTGTGCAGAGCTGTGGATTGATCACCTCAGAAGAGAGACACCGAGTCCCATTTGTGTGCAGCTGACTTCTGAGCACAGCTTCCATGGCATCCCAATGCTTGCTTGCAGTGGCTAAAAAGTATTTCACTTCCCTAGCTTGTGAATTACAGTTTGGGACTTGCTTTTCTTATTCTCTCCTTATAAATCTGAGGGAAGTTCAATTCTTCCCTATCTATGGTGTTTTGTTAGGCGTGAAAAAATAAAATCTCACCAAACTTCCATCAGCTTCAGTCTTGTCAGAAAAAGGTTTTGCATTCAAGACAAGGAGATATATGTGTGATACTTCCTATTTGCCTAGAATTTTTTCCATCAGTGTGAAAAGTCATTTCAGTTATATTTATCCCATATTCATATTTACAGTTCTGTGTATCTCAGCAGTCTGTTAAAGCTTGCACATTTAGAATAAAGTGAAGACTCATATGAGGATGTAAAAAAACAAACCAAACCCTAGTGATTATTTAAACTAAAAATCTTGGATAATGATCTAGCCTGATGGTGACATGTAAAGCCCCATATCAGTCTCTGGACAGAAAGCTTTCCTACAAGAGCAGGAAGGAGATCAAGGGCAGCACAACTGCAGCAACAAGAGGCTGATGCCATTGACTTCACCACCAGGGAAGAAGGCTCAGCTTGGGTGTCACTGTTTAGATTTATAAAGCTTTAGTGAATTCTTTCCCATTGAGCACAAGTGAGATCATGGCCCTACCCTGACACTCCTTTAAGGAGCCCCTGCTGCATGGTGTGTGAGCACAGCCCCCAGGGCATAAGAAAAGTGATGTACAATTTTATGTATACTCACATTTTGGCATATGTTTGATGCAGGTATGCATTATCCAGCTACCCAGAAGTCTTGGTGAAAACTTTTTTTAAACCACATTAAAATACAAAACTAATATATGAAATATGGAATGTTACCACAAGGCTGAGGATGCACTTAAGTTACCATAGAGCATTAAAGCAAACTAAACCTCTCTTACTTCAATATTCACCTGTCTGAGCTGAAACTGTAGGGTTTCTTTTACTTCCCTTATTTTATTTTCAGCTTTCTCCACACAGCTATTGAACCAGAGTGTTAATAGTGAAATCTGCATGTCAGAGTACTTGATAAATTGAGAATAATCATTAAAAAGTAAACCAGACATAATTAAATCTCAGACATAGTTAAATCTCAGACATAGTTAAATCTCAAGACAGCGTGGTGTAAAATAATGCATTGTTGTACCTGCAATGATGTCATCCATTTGCTCCAAAGCTGCTTCCAGCATATGACTGGCATCAGAAGCCATCCTCTGGGATTTCTTCAGATCTTTACTCTCTCTACTGAAAAGACAGAATAAACCACATACATTGCACTAAATAGCCTGATGACAAAATATGTCACTGTCACATTATACATTAGGCTACACAAAAAAAAAATCCATGCTACAGCTTAGTAATGCAGCCTAGTGATACAAAAATACAGCCTAATAATAAGAAAACTAACAAAAGTGTTCCTGTTTTCTAGATGACTTGGGAGTTCTGATTCATTTTTTTTTTTTAAGAGATTTTACTAAAGCAGTCAAATGCAAATAAGAAAATTCCAAAGAACTTCAAATACTGGAAGCCCAAGATTCTCCTGCTCCTCATCCTTAACAATGGTTTCCTAGATTCAAAATTCAGCGTATTTCAGCCTTTTCCTCTGTGGGGAAAAAAGAGGATTGACAGGTTCAGTGAGGGAATGAAGACATGGGGCAGAACATGTCTTGCCTATAAGCAGAAATCTGTAGGAAGTCTGCTTTTTGATTTTTGCCTTAAGAGTAAAGAAAATTCCGAAATAATTTTTACTCCTCCTTTGTATATTCCCATTAATTCTTTTCACCACCTCTTTCATGGCACCAAAAATCCCATTTTTTCTGTTCAAATAACCAAGATGCCCCAGGTGTGAATTCTCTGAAGTCACTCCTGCTAACAGGACTAAGTACATTTATGTTACCATCTGACATTGGGGATGACCAAAAAAAAAAAAAAAAAAAAAAAAAGAAAAATCTTCCAGAATGAGTCCCTGCTGAATGAGTCCAGAATGAGTTGGTGCTGCTGGACACTAAAGTCAAGCAGCAGCTGCTGCTGCCAACAGATGACATTTCAAAGCGGAGAAGAATTTATGCAGTCCATTTCAGTGCCAGTGAAAATCCCCTCTGCAATAAGGACCCTTTTGCACATCACTTCATCTCTGAAGCACGAGAGCAGTGCCCACACAGAGAGGAAACAGGGATGGCTCCTGTGCATGGGGCTCACAGGGCTCTAACACACAGCTCACAGCACCCACAGAGCCCACAAAGGCTCACAGTGTCTTGATTTCTTTTCCATGAAGGCTGCAATTCAGTCTTTCAGCATTCAGTCTTCTTTTACAGCAAGCTGGAAGAGCTGTGGTTTAAAACTGTTCCATTTTAGCAGCTATCACCTGTTGCTATTACCTGTCTGACAATGGACAGAGATATCCTTCAAATAACTCAGGTTCTGGGTAGGTGAAAAGGCAGCGGACCTATGATTCCAATGCTACAGAAGTGCCATTAATATGTGTTTATCATGGGATCACTTGTGCTAAGAATTCAAGTAGTTTGAATTGAAATAAATATTACAATGAAAATTTGTACCATCCAACCAAAATTAGTTTCTTCTCCTGAAAACTAAGAATCCTGTGGCATGGACTTTTCTCCATGGTACTGGTGAAACACACACAAAGAAAGCTAATTTATTAAGAACCACTGTGTTATCAGCATCCTATGTTGATTCCAGTTAATGTAGATAAACCCCAGGGTCTAGAGAGGCAGATGCAGGAATGAGTCAGAGGCTGCAACATTCTCATTTGAACTCTGCCATTTATAGCCTGTCACAGTGGGTAAACCACGATTTAACTTCAGGTCACATTGATCTGAAGAGCAATGTGAGAATGCCTCATCCTTACTGTCACCCAAGGCTCAGATTAATGTAAATGAATGAGTGGTTTCGGTGCCTCAGTTTTGTTTTTTTTTTCATTTTGTCAAAATAATCTTTTAATTACAAGCAACGCTAAATTTAACCAAAGTAAGTGTCACCCAAATATTTCATTTAACTGCACTGGAAATGACATAAATTATGCTCAGAATATTCTGGAAAGTCATTAATTCAGCTGATATAAACTTAAAATTTCAGAGTGTTTTCTTTCACACATGCAATTTCCAGGCACTCCCCCTGATCCTGCTAGTTCCATTTGTTGGTTTTTGGGAGACTTCCATCTTTTGTTGCCACATCACAGGCCACCAAAGCCCTCTCAGCCTCAATGGTTCTCCTTCCTCTCGTTCAAAGCAGCCATAGCGTGGGGAATAATCACCTCAGTGACAGGAAATCCACCTACAGGCGGCAAAAAGGTGCCAGAGGGGCACCAAGGCTCCCCCAGGAATGCATGGCCACCAGCTGTGCTGGGAAATCAGGGCAGCAGATCTCTGGCTCGGAGTTAGAAGGCAGAAAAAGAGCGAAAAGATGCTAAATAAAGCACAGAGTTTCTAATTCTAGCTTGCACTCCATGCTTTTATTTGTGATGAAAGGCACTGGAGCAGCACATGGGTGTTCAAACAGGAAATGCAGGATGACATTTCTGGTTAACATCTGATATAGTATTTCATCATTTGTAGTGACAAAGGCACAGAAAATGCTGATGCACTGCATTACAAACTTGAGAATTGACTGATGGAAAACCTCCCATCAAAGCCCTGGCAAAACCCGGAAAGTTTTGCTGAAAAACTCCACCAGAAGTAAATCTTCTATCTCCTCCCTGCCTCCACAGTCAGCCTATTTTCTCACCTGCACCCACAATATATCTGCTGCCTAACTCCACTAAGCCATAGCAAAACCTGCTGATCAAACAAGGATTTATTAATGAAAGCAATGTTCTCTGCTCCAGAGAGATAATGTAATATTACTTGCTTGACATCTTTTTCTAGACAGACCTGCTGCGTGTGCTCCAGGCAAGTCTCACTTTCCCAGCCACTCCCTCCTTACAGTTTGGCTGCTCTGAGCAGTATTATCAAAAGAGCTTGTGTGAGCTCCTAGGCTTTCAGCTACCATTTCTGATCTAATTCTATAGAAATATCTTCAACTGTGGATTCTTTTGAAAATATTATAAATAACAAGACACGCGACCAGGATCCATCTATTTGCTGGTATTTTAATTACAAATCTTTTTTACAGTTTTCATTCCTGAATGACATCAACATATGCAGAATACCATGACTTATTTACTTATGTAAACACATACATATATTTAAAAAAAAAAAAGTTTTTGCAGCTTTAGTAAAGACTAACCAAAAGCTACCTCTCACAAAGTACAAACTTCAATATTAGTAAATTCTAACCTTCAGGATTTATTAGATTAATTCACATGCCAGCAAAATACATGAACCAGGCTACTCACCTTTTCAGGTCTCTAGGAGGAAAAGAATTTACTTTTTTTGCCGGACCAGTAAAAATTCCTTGCTATTAATAGCCAATGTTTTACTGTTAAGCAGACATAAGTCTAAATTATTATCATCCCTTCTAAGCCACATCCTCATATTAATTTAGAGCCCAACCCACAGAGATATTGCAACCCTGTTTGTTATAATTGTCTAAGTAACGACATCTTCCAGGAAGTGCAGACAGAGCCAACTGGTCTGAATTCCCCAAATTTATTTTGCTAAGGTAATTTTGCACTAAATGTCCTAATCTGAGATTTGCATTTCAAATAAAATGAAAAACCTCTGGGAGAACTATTGTGCTCAGAGCCAATACCCCTTGCAAATTTCTTAACCTACATTCTCCATGTAAAACTACAACTCACTGCATCCAAAGGAACATAATATTTAACAGACATGTTCACTGAGAGCAAGATGTTCTTCAGAACTATGAAAAGCCTTAATTAAATTTGAATCTTTCATGGCTGGCTTGAACCAGCAGCTGCTCAGAGATAAGAATATGAACAAGATTAATTTAGGCAACACAGATGTTTTCCCAAGGTTGCTCATAATAATGAGGCTACCAACTTTATCAATTACAAGGGGTGTGGTTTTTGACAGAAACTCCAGAAATCCAGATCTTGTCTTGTCTGTGGCCTACAAATTCCTCTCACATTTAGCTGACACATGTAGTAATTAACTACCACCACCTTTTTTTTTTTTTCCCTAGGATGAATAAACAGATGCTTGTAGACTCTTGAAATATTCAGATTCGAGTATTACATTGCTTTGTACTTAATGGCATCATGAAATATCGAGTGCCTTGGATAAGCTCAGAAGTCCTCCAAGTTTTCCTTCAGCTGCAAGAGGACTCCTGCCCTGGAATGCAGAAATCTGCCCAACTTCCACCCTCTCTTTCCCACCTTTCTTTTCCCCCAGCCACACTCTGTGTAGCACCCAGACTGGAGCACAGCCACTGATCCATCCCTCCAACTCATGGCTCCATCAGTTACAAAACTTATAAATTCATATTTGGATCCTGGCCTTTGAGAACCTGCTGGAACTCTCTAATTAAGATAATCCTTAGTCCTAACTAGCACTCCAGGGAACAAATCATCTCTGATGGTCTAAGGAGTGCTACTTGTGCAGCATCTCCCTGGGCTCTCCAGCCAGAAATCCTATTTATCTGCCAGCTGAGAGAGCTGGGCTTGCTCAGCCTGGAGGAGAGAAGGCTTCAGGGAGACCTTCCAGCAGTTTTCCACTGCCCAAAAGGGTTACAGGAGAGCTGGAGAGGGACATTTCACAAGGGCAGCAGTGACAGAAAAAGGGGTAAGAGCCTTAAGCTGAAGGAAGGTAGGTTTGCATTCAATATCAGGAGGAAATTCTTTACTGTGAGGGTGGCAGACCCTGGCACAGGGGTGCCCAGAGAAGATGTGGCTGCTCCTGGATCCCTGGGAGTGGGCTGGACTGGGCTCTGAGCAACTTGGGATAATGGAAGGCATCCCTGTCCATGACAGGAGGGGGGAGCCAGATGGCTTTTGTGGTCCTTTCCAACCCAAACCATTCTATGGTTCTAGCTTAAATTTCATTTATTTCTTAATACAGCCGGTACTTGCTTTATTTCCCCTTCATATACTTCACTGGAATAGGCAGAAAGGTAAAAACCCTCTTCTTTCATTGATTACCCATTCTGTAATAAGTAAAATCAAGGCCATTTCAGAGGGTTTTTAAGAATAGCTAGAATAGGAAGGAAAAAAACAAGTTTATTTTGAGCTGGAAAGTGTAAAGTGCCCACAGGAAGGCAGAATGGGGAGCTCTAAAGAGAAATATCAATTAGCCAAAGTTGAACAAAGACCTGATAGCAAATTGCTT